ACAACAAATAGCTTTTTATTTTTTAAGTAAAACTTGTAACTGGCTTTTATAATTAAGTTGAAAAAATATTTTGAAATTATAATATTCCAGTTATAGATTATTAAAGTATGAAATAATGCAAAATAAGTAGATTGACTAAAATTCATCTGATTTTCAAAGTATCGGCTTGGCAGAACGACAAGTCTCGGCTGAATAACAAATATTTAGAACAAAAATATTTTGTATTTATCATTACATCAATTATTCAAAGCAAATATGTAAAAAAGAGCAGAATTGGTGAAATTCAGTATTTTTTTCAAAATTATCTGAGGTGACGGTCATAACATTTACTTTTTACCACTTCTGAACAAAACAATTGGTGTGTATATTTACATATATTGGTGTGTATATTTACATATATTGATATTTTTAAAAGGTACTTGTTTTCATGTCTGTATTTAGAAATGAATTCATATTTTTTGATCAGAAAATTTTCTTGGTCGAAATTAGTAATAATTTCAAATTCCTCTTGTAAACATAGATTCATTTTTTGGAGAAATTTTATTTTATTCCAATATTTTTTTTACAGCTATGGCTTACTTTAATAGTGTTTCTGTTAAAAATCTTGTGAAAATTATTAGAGGGAGGGCAGTGTTTGTCTATTAATTTTAAAAACTTTTTTCCAATATTTGTTACATTTTGACACATTTTTATTGTATGAGGGGATGAACCAAATTATATTTCTATTTCTATTTGGAATTTTTGCTATTTTTGTTTCAAAATTTAGCTCAAAAATTTTAAATCCACTTTTTTTAAGAGCATCATCATACACATGTTTAGAAGAGTTACAAATAATTTCATTAGAAGAGTTTTGATTTAGCTTATTGTTAATTGAAATAGGAATTTGTTTTAAAATTTGAGGGGGATGATTTGAATTTATATTAATGTACAATAATTCATCATTAGGTTTTTTATAAGGCTTGTCTGAATTTTCCAAGACGTTAAATGTGACATCAAGAATTTTCACAATATTTAAATTAATGTTTATTTCATTTTGGAAGCCAATATATTTAAAGAATTTTTATATTTTTTTTCTGATTTTGTCCAGTTGAGGCTCTGATTTTTTTTTTCTTGCATTATTATTAAACCATCATCACAAACCTAATTGATTAAAATAAACTATTTTAACTAGGGAATTTAAAGTATATAAGCCTTCAATTTCGCAAGTTTCTGTTCTGTCATAACTTCCCATTGTTACATCAAAGCATTCATGTGTGGTTTTTTTCTTCCACTTCTCAATATTAAAATTGAGTAAAATTTTTCTGCAATATTTAGTTAGACGAATAGTGTTGTCTGTAATTTTAGTGTGGATTTTTCTAAATTCTATTGTTTTATCTAAAATTTCTGCTGTAATTGAGGGGTAAAAATTATTTATATCAAATTGTATAAATATGCATTCATTTTCATCACTAATTTTAGAAAACCAATTTATAACATCAGTGGTATTTTCCCACTGTTGCAAGTTTAATTTTTTTGAATAATATTATTAATTTTAAATAATATTAATTTTTTCTAAATTAATTTTACTAAGGTACCCTAGTTCACTTTTTGAAGGTATTTGTAGTACCCTACAATGGAGTTTATTTGAAAATTTGGTTTATGATCTTTTAGTGTAATAAATGCTTGCACTAATGCAATTGATTAAGTTCTAGCTTCTAAATTGTTTTAGTAATGTTTTGGCCTTCTAAATTAATTGCATTTTACAAGTTTTTTGGGGGCTTTTGCATAATTATTAAAAATATTATCGCCCAATATTTTATGATTATTTGGTATATTTTGCTTGTTTTATCAACAAAAACTAAAGTAATAAGGTTTAATTTTATATTATTGTCTAATTTTAGTTCTTTTTGGAAATTATTGTTAATATTTTGAAATTTTATTGTTTTAATCAAGAGTAGTAAATTATTTTCAAAGTTTTCTAGATTGGGAACTAATGGTGGGGTGTTTTTATTTTGAATCTAAAATTTTCTTTTTGGTTATTTCCAATTATAGGATTTTTATTGGTTTCATATATATATATATTATATATATATATATATATATATATATATATATATATATATATATATATATATATATATATATATATATATATATATAGTATGTTTGTTGTATCTCTTTCCTTTGGAAAACTATATGAAGATAGAAGTTTGTTTCAATGATATTTATTGCATGGCCAAGATAAAAATATTGCCTAGCAGGAAAGGGATGGGGGACTAGTTTAAGAAGGTATATTTGTTAAATTAATACATGAAAACAATATATATATATATATATATATATATATATATATATATATATATATATATATATATATATATAATATATATATATATATATATATATATATATATATATATATATATATATATGTATATATGTATATATATATATATATATATATATATATATATATATATATATATATATATGTATATATATATATATATATATATATATATATATATATATATATATATATTTATATATAATATATATATATATATATTTTATATATGTATATATATATATATATATATGTATATATATATATATATATATATATTTATATATATATATATATATATATATATATATATATATATATATATATATATATATATATATATATATATATATATATATATATATATATATATATATATATATATATATATATATATATATTAAAAATTATTCCTATATAATATCTTCCAGAATTCAAAAAGCATAATTAGTTTTATTTAAGTTTTGATTAATTAAACTTTACAATAAATAGATTTTCTAAAATTTGTTCGGTTATGTAACTTTTTTATTTGATAACTTAACTTTTAGAACTTTTATCGTCATTAAGTACATGAAAAAATTATTACTATAAAAACTAAACCATTTTCTGAGGTTTTATATAAAATTAAATAGATTCCTAATTTCTCATCAAATTGAAAAAAAAATCATCTCCTTATCAAAACCTAAAAAATGTTTTGTTTCAAGATTTTAAGTATATATATCTGCAACATCTTTGTCAACCAGTTTAATTGAAAAAAATTATATGATAATAGAAATACCCAATCTTGAGAATATTAGAGAAGGGTATTTTGAAATTTATTGAGTGATGGAAGCCTGATATGGGTCTAATTCATCTAACGTCTCTAAATAACATTCTTGTTTATGTCGAAAATTTACTTTTTTGTTTTATAATATATTAATTTGCAGCAGAGTTATTACTTATCACTTACTAGTCACTTATTACCATTTACTATTTTACTATATTTTACAGTATTTATATATGCAATATTTATTAGTTACTAGATAAAATATATATTTGTAATATATATAAATTTTTTTAGTTACTGATTTGGAAATAGAACCAAAAACTCATAAAAGCACCCTCGCAAAAAAAAAAAAAATTGAAATGTTTGCAGTTTTTTAATTCTAAAAGTCTATGACTAGAATAAATTGAAAAAACTCATTAGATAAAAAAGTTTATTCATTAAAAAGTTATTTTTGCAATACTGAATTTAGATCATAATGATGACGATAACGATGATGATAATTTTTTTTATCCATTTATTCAACCAAAAATTGAAAAATTACAAGTTTATAATTTTACAAAGATAGGTTTAGGTGTCACTCATATAGTTAAAAATTAGTCATTAAAGTGACATTAAAATAAAATAAACATTGAAAAGAAATCAACAGCAATGATAATAAATAAAAGCATGGATAAATTGAATTAGTTTAAAATAATTATAACAATAAATTAAATAATAAGACAAAAAATATTAAAACACTCAATAACAACAGCAAACAAAAATAAAAATAGTTAACAAAACAGCACAAATAAAAACAAACTTTATGCAAAAAGAAAAGGTTAACAAAAAAACTACAAAACGAAAACAAAAACTACTAAAAGAAAATGCAAACACAAAAACTTCTGCAAAATAAAATAAAATTAAATTAGAAAATAATAACAATCTTTTGTTATTTTTTAACAATTTTTTATTATTTCTTTTGGCAAAAAAAGTAGAAGAAAATAGTAAAATAGAAAAACAGCGAACAACAATCAAAATAATTAGCAACAACAGCACAAATAATAGCAAACTTTACGCAAACAAGAAGGCAAACACAAAAACTACCAAATGAAAGCAAAAACTACAAAACGAAAATGCAAACACAAAAACTAAGATAAACAAATAATAATCTTTTGTAATTTTTGGCACAAAAAAAAAGGTGTAGAAAAATTAGTTTTATTGAATCGTTTTATTTTTACATTTTAATTAGTTCTCTATTATTATTTCAAACTTTTTTTGGCTTTTTTTTGTTTTTAACTTAGTGCTTTGCTTTTAAGTGATTTTTTTTTTTTTTTTTTTTTTTTTTTTTTGTTAAATATATTTGTTCTTTTATTTTTTGATTTGTGTTTTTTTTTTTATTTTGTCTTCAATATTTTAGTTTGTTTATACCTTTCAATAGTTTATTTATTTTACTTTATTTTCAACTATTTTTTTTTTATTCTTCAAAATAATTTTCTTTGCTTTTATATTTCTCTTTTTTTCCTTTTCACTGTTAAATAAACACTTCCGCCATTTGCAATGTTATTGCATTGAATGTGTAATGACATTGCATTAAATGTGCAATGTCATTGCATTGAATGTGCGATGTCATTGCATTGAATAACAATGACGATGATGATGATGATAATGATGATGATGATGATGATGATGATGTTGTTGTTGATGATAATAATGATGATGGTGATGATAATGATGATGATAATGATGATGATGATGATGATGATGATGATGATGATGATGACGATGACGATGATGATGATGATGATGATGATGATGATGATGATGATGATGATGATGATGATGATGATGATGATGATGATGATGATGATGATGATGATGATGATGAAGAAGGCAGATGATTATGTTTAACTCTTTTCTTTGTTTACTTAGCTGAAATTGATAAACCATGGAAGTTTAACCATAAAACAACAAGAGCATTTACTATAAATGAAGTAATAGATACAAATTTTCCAAATTACAACTCATTACTCAGTGGTTCAACACACAAAGATGTTGGTTGCTTTTGCTGTGCTGCTGGCCCTTTAGATCTTACTGGTACTTTATTCAGATGTTTTTTTCTTAATTTTTTTAGAATTTTGATCAAAATAAAAATAGTATTTTTTAAATAAGCACATAATAAAATAGAATATTGTATGTATATAAAAAAATATAAATATAAAATACAAAAATACTAACTAAAAAATACTTTTAAAATATTTTTTCTTGTAGTTAAAAGTTTTTTTTTTTAATTTTGCTCTGATTTACACTCAACAATTATTGATATTTTCGCTTATACAAAATCTTTTTTAATTAATTCACTCACAATTTATACAATTTATACAATTCTATGCATGGAATTAAAAATCAAAATAATTATGAAATAGGAAAAAAGATGTAATGCTGAAAATGATTTTGAAATGAAATTGATTTATTCAAAATGTATATATAAATGTATATATACCTTAATGCTTCTTTCTAATGTCATATGATAAATAATGCATCATTGTAAAATATATTTTGGGATTTTTATAATGAAGTTTTAAGATTATTTTTTTTCTTATATCTCAAAATAACTCCTAGCTCAATTTTTAAAAACAGTTACTAGATTCTTGGCTCTTTATTTGTGGCTACTTGAATTGTGGTTACAACCATTTCTCAACTCTATAACTCCGAAACACAAACCTTGACAAACAAGGCTGCTGCGCAGAGAAACAAGTTAAGTGCAGTACCAGAGTGTTAGCCAGGAATAATTTTTATACAACGTTTTTATGAAATTATAAAGTTTTAATAATGTTGCCTTCCTCCTCCTCCCTTCTCATTACCTGCCCAATATCATTGCTGCATGAGGTTTAAAATTTAAATAAAAGTTCTCGCTAGCATATAATGATTATTTAAGGCACCAATCAGGTTAAAGATGAATATGATATCCATGAATAGCTTTAGAGTGCCAGGAAAATTAGACTCCATTTTCTAATGATATTTTGTTAAGATAAATTATGTTTCAAAAGTAAACATTAGAAAACAAGTTTAAATTTAAAATAAACTTTTCAAAAAAAAAATTTTATGATGTTTGGAAAAAAATGTGTTATTTCACCATTATACTTCCGTTTAGAAAGTTAACTTTTAATTTTAAGTCAATTATTACCTGTGATATTTTATCTATACACTTTCCAATAATTTGTGTTTCTGTTATATTTATATATATGCCATTTAGTATGTAAAATGCTTATAGATATAATACAATTCATGCATGTGATATTTACAATTAATACCTGTGATATTTTATCTATAAACTTTCCAATAATTTGTGTTTCTGTTCTGTTTAAAGCATAAAAGTTGATTTCAACCAATCATAGAGATAAATATTCTTAAGTATAGTGTCAAAAACCTTTTATAAGAATCATTTTATGGATAAAGAGTAAAAAGTAAAAATAAAAGTTATAAAGAACTGGTAAATAATTTACAGTATTGTACCCTCCCTCACATTCCCTGCTAAATTGCGTTTGCAGAAATTTTTTTGACATGTCATGTTAAATTTTTTTTTTTTTTTCTTTTTAGATTTATAGTTTTGTATTTCCCTTTTTATTACAAGACTTTCTCATTTGACATATTAGAGTATTATATTATATTATTTTCTTTCAGCAAGCATTGATCGAAAGGCCTATTGTCCAGGTGAACTTATATTAATAACTGCTGAGGCTCAAAACAGCACTACTCGTAACATGGCTGGAATGAAAGCTCAACTCTACAAGCATATAGAATACATTGCTAAAGGCAAAAGAAAACATTGTTCTGAAAAAATTGCTATAATTCATGGTAGGGGGCACTATACTTGCAATTTAATAATTACCTTTTTACAATATGATTTTAATTTGCACTCCAAGATTACTTTAGTATGTCAAGCTTCTATATTAAAAGTTTTTTATCCAGTAAATTGTGACTGTAGTACCAAAAAATGTTAAGTATAAAACTATTATCACTACCAATTTATTTCAATATTTTTTCAATATCAAAGTTTAATTTTTTAGGTTAGTGCAGCAGTTTTGACATTTTTCTTTATGGTTAGTGCAGCAGTTTTGATATTTTTTGTCGTAGTTTTGTGTATTTTTTGTCGTAGTGTAACAGTTATTATTAATTTATATCATTACAAGCTTATACAAAGCTTATATATTTTGTTGTAATAAAACATAAAAATAATTAAGATTCCCAGTCTAGTATTTTTATTCATTGAACTTCCCTTGGCAATGTTTTATAAAATTTATATCTTGTTTTATAAAACAACATCATTATGTCTTATTTATTTTAATCTTTTTTTTTTTTTTTTTTTTTTTTTTTTTTTTTAAACTTGTTTTTTGTAAATCTTATTTAAAACTTTTTTTTTTAAATTTTTTCTTTAAATTTTTAAAATCTTTTTTATAATAATTAAACTGATAACATCGTAGAAATAAATTATTTAAAAAAATACTCCACCAGAAACAGTTTGCATTTTCAAAACCACAATACTTTGTGCTATTATAAATTTTATAAATCTAAATTTTGAAAATATTTAGTAGACATCCTTCAACAAAAAAAAATAAGGGAGGGAGGGGGGTTAGACAGTTCATAGATTATTGGTGTTCACGATAAGTATATTCCAGAAATGGTGCAAACTTTAAATTTTTAAGTATTGGTACTGGTATCAAATAAGAATGTTTTACAAAAAATTACAGTGATTGGAGCCTCGAAACGATGGACACCTAAAAATGTGGAAAGAAGAAAAAAACAACCTTTTTTTTTTTGCATCTTAAAATGGATGGCAACCAAGGGAAGTTTGAAGGCTTTTTTATTATAGGGGATTGTGAATTTTATGCGGTCAGTACTTTTAAACGTTAAATTTTTTTTTTTTTACTAAATGAGAATTTTACACACTAATTTTGGTTGCGTTCATGATGGCTAAAAAATATTTAGACCTTAGGGCTCTAATTTTATGGCAAATTTTAAATAATACGTTAAATATGGTTTAATAACAGTAGTTAAAAGAAACATTGAAAAAATTTATTAGTATTTATTGCTCATATTAAGTCAAAATGCCAAACATTTAAAAATATCATAAAGATAGAGCTTTAGTCTGCCTAATTTGTTTTTCAAAAGAATCAGGAATAAAAAGTTAAAGAAGTGTGACATCGAACAGAATGCATAAGTTCTTTTTAAAATCATTTGATTTGAACAATTAAAATTTTTCTAATGGTATTTGTACTAAATGCAGAAAAGCATTAGAAAGATTTGAAAAAAGAGATTATTTTCATTATTTTGAGTAAACTGTATTATTGCTGAAAAGTCAAAGTTGGTATTCATACCAGAAACCATTTAGTCTGTGTTTGTGACATCTGTGAATTGCTCGAACTACAATTACTTTAGGATCAATGTCTGAAATAGAGTAAGATTCAAGTTGGGAGAAATATTGGCTCATCACCTGAAACAATAAAAAAAAAGAGAGATCAAGTTGGGCTTCATCACTTAAAACAATAAAAATATGTAAAAGGTGCAGTTGTCATTGGACCAGGAATACCCCAGAGAAAATTTAATAGAAAAACTAGAAAAAAGTAGAGCTGTCAATTTTTCTTGATTTAATATTTCAAACTTGAAATTTAGAAATTTATAAAACTGAAAACTTGTTATTACATGAGGTTGTAAACTTCAATGCATAAACTTCAATTCAAATTATACGAATCAGGAAAGCTATGAATGAAAGTGATTTTCTGTTCATTTCATTCATATTTTTCCCAAGGAAAAATATGAATGAATTCCAAAGAGCTGATGTTTGAGAAAAAAAACTAGACAAATAGAAAAAGGCTTTTTGAGCTCTTAGGAACAGTCACAATTAAAGTCTCATAGATGAGATTTAATTGAATGAGGAGTAACACAAGAATGAATTTTATTAGATGACACAAGAGACATTTGCTCTTTAGAGCAGTGCCAATTATAGTATTTATAGAAAAAAGAAAGAGAAGCAACATTACGGCGATGTGATAATTGTTGAAGGTTGGCTGCAAGAGCAGGTCCAACTATGTTTACAATGCGTTTTTGTACCTTGTCTAAAAGATAAAGGGCACCATTTGAAGATCTGCCCCAGATATGGCAACAGTATTCCATACAAGCCCTGATTTGAGACTTATAGAGATAGATAATAAAATCCAGAGTAAGAAAGTGTCGAACTCGATAAAGAAATGCAACTTTAGCAGATGCTAATTTTGCAACAGATTTGATATATGGTTTTCAAGAAAGATCAGAAGTAAGAGTTAATCCTAGAAGATGAAGGGTAGATGACTCATTGAGTACATTACCATTCATAAATATAGGAAGGTCTAAATTATTGTGATAATGATTGACTGAAAAACATTTTTATGCTGGTGAACTTTAATTCAGTTTTATCTGAATTAATGTTCACCAGCAACTGTGAGCCCTATGCTGTAGCAGAAGTGAGATCCTTTTCAAGCTCCAATGCCCCCTCCAAGCAATCAGAGAGAGTTGGTTTCTTATCATGACAAGAATAAATTGTAGTATCATCAGCGAACAATGCCACCTTAAGTGTGAGAATATCTGGAAGATTGTTAATGTAAATTAAAAAAAGAGTATAGGGCCAAGGATTGAACCTTGAGGAACCCCTGAGGTTACAGAATAAGAAGAAGAGTGCTGTCAATCAAGGACAACTTTTATACTACGATTGGAAAGGAAGGATTTAATAATCTTAAAGATGTTTCCAGATACACTGTAAGAAAAAAGGTTATGAAGAAGACCAGCATGCTAAACTTTATCAAACGCTTTAGAAATGTCAAGAGCGATGGCCTTAACCTCTCCACCTTTATCTAATGCATAATAAAACCTATCGGTTATTACTGTTAGCAAATCAGCCGTAGAACGAGAAGATCAAAATCCATATTGATGATCAGAAAGTAAATTATTAGATTCAAGATTAAGTGTTTGTTAATTAAAGGTTCAAAAACCTTGCTTAAGATAGGAAGAAGACTAATGGGACGGTTGTTAGACAAATCAGATCGCTCTCCAGAATTTTTAAAAATTGGGATAACAGATGCTGCTTTCCACCAGGCTGGAAAACAAGACTCTGATAAGTACTTGTTGAATAGTTTTGAAAGGATAGACGACAGCTCCGGATATAACTTCTGCAAGACTATAAAAGGTATGTTGTCCGGGCCACAAGCTGTAGTAGAGTCTAAGCAGGAAATCACTTTAGAAACAGAAGCTGGATTGATACAAGTGTCAAGCAATGAATCAACCTGTTATCAGGTAGAAAGCAACTAGTAGAATCAAGAGATAATGCTGATAAAAAGTTCTTAGCAAATAATTCAGCTTTGTCTTTAGGTGAGGTGACAAAGTCTGAACCATACAAAAGAGGTAGAATTACAGCCCTTATTATTGATACTATTAAAGATTCTCCAGAAGTCACGAGAGCCTAATTTTTGTGATAAAATCCGAGATTTAATGACCTGAGAATAGCGGGCTTTGGCATTACACAAAACTTTTTTACAATGGTTCCTATCAGTAATAAAGAGACGTCTGTTTTCTGGAGAATTGTTTTGCTAATAGATATAGAAGTAATGGTTTTGGTTAGCAATTGCAGCAGCACAATATTAGGAAAACCATGGAGAAGAGTGAGGTTTGACCTGGAATCGCCGAGAGGGAATAAAGGGTTCTATGCCAGCCTTAATCCACGAAGTTATGTAAGAAACACATTTGTCAACAGGAAGACGAAAGATTTCTACCCAAGGGCCATCATGATGAAAATTACGGAAAGCGAGTTGGAAAGTTGACTATTTGAGTTAGGGTTTGAGAAAAGCAAAAGTTGTGGGCTTTAATGCATGCCGATGATCAGAAATAATATCAAGAAGAGTGCAGTCTTAAGATGAAGAAGATCGATATAGAACATAAAGAAAGGTGATAGAGTGAAGTGGTGCTAAACGAAAGCACATAAAAGAGTAGTGTGTGGATTCAAATCTAGTTTCTTGACAAATGGGTGAATTCTTACCAATGTAAATGCCCAGTTATTTTTTATCAAATAGCCGTCTGACAAGATTTTTCAAAAATCCAAGCTTTCAGCTGCATTTTATATTATTGCAAGTCTTCCTAGAAAGCGCATGCGATTGCACGCCTTGTTCGTCCATGTTTAAAGTAATTTGTTTAAACAACTTGACCACATCAAATGTGGTAAATACATATGTAAAAGAAACCATGCTAATCTTATATTAAATTTTTTCAATCATTACAAAATTTATTAATCAAATATGTTTTAAAAATAAATAGCAATTTCTTTTTTAATTTTTTTCTATTTTAATAATATTGAGTAAAAACATTAAATATAGCAAAATCATTTTTAAAAGCAAAAAGACCTAAAAACAAATAAACACAAAAAGAATTAACAAAATTTATCATAGTTCTAGCTTACATAACAAATTATTTTCTTAATTATACGGACTGATAAAAATTGCGAATAATTCGCATACCAAAGCTTTCAATTGTTGTTAAATTGTTATATAGTATATGTTTTTTCTCTTCTTGTATCAAATTTAGTTGCTAAAAACAACAGCCACCCTTAAAAAAAAAACCCGCATAAGTTGCTTAAAAGTTTTATAAAAAAATCTTTTATTTTAATTATATTTTTTAAATTGTTAAAGTTTTCTAATTTGCTTTATTAAAATTTGATATCTCATTCAATTTTGTTTCCATTTTCTTTGTATCATTTTTTTTTTTTTTTTCACCATAGATAAGTACAGTTTTTTGTCGCAAATTATTAAAATGCTCTAAAAGTTAAATAATGGAAACCGCTGTGGTCAGTGTGTCTAATAACTATAAAAGTGGATGAACAAGGCGTGCTATCGCACGAGCTTCTTGGGAATACTTGAATTGTGTTAACCTTTTACTAGTTAATCTGTTTTGATGGCAAATAGGTTATTGAAACCCTTGCTCCATTGGAACTTTATTCATTTTGTGGAAAAATATTTTGTACAAACAGAATTTATAGTAATCTGCAAATTAGTGTAATCATTATCTGCAAATTAGTGTAGCCAAATTTTAGGTTTTCAAAGGCTTAAGCTGCACTGTGGTCAATTTAAAGTTGGAGAATGTTCAAAACTGCTAAAAAATATTTATGTGTTTAAAGAATTAATAAAATCTCCTAAACTGAAAAAAGATGAACATATCATTAAATGTATGGTAAAAATCATATCAGGGAAAAGGGCTATAATAGCATTTAAAAAAAAATTTCTACCATTATGATTGCGACTAAAATTCTTATTAATTTTTGACTATTGAAAAGTTTAAATCTAGAATCTGGAGTTCAATTTGTTGAAGAGTTTGTTGAAAAATCAGTTTAAATCCTGCACATGTGTTATTTGTTTAAATATTTTTTCAATTTAGGTTTCAAAATACCAAAAGGAGAGTCTGCTTCTTGGCAAAATCAGCCTTTTTTTATTCCTGCAACATGCCCAACTATTTTAACATCTAGTGTTATACACGTCTGGTATGAATTATGTGTTGAAGTAGATGTTTCTTGGGGATTTGACCCAGCTATAAGAATGCAGATTATTATGGGTACAGTGCCACATTTCTCAACATATTGTCAACCTGGTCCCAATTTTCAACCTACTCAATTTCAACCAAACCCCAATCTTCAAAGTCAAACACCAAGTTAGTTTTTCAATCTTTTAAATAGTTTTAATGATTTTTTTTAAAATTGTGATTAAATCATTGTGCAACAACTTAATAAACATTGTACTATAAAGGGAGCATAGGAAATATAAGATCAAACTACATTTAATATACTCCCTTGCTGACCAGTTAATGTAAATTGTAATTGTTAAAAATTCATATATATATATATATATATATATATATATATATATATATATATATATATATATATATATATATATATATATATATATATATATATATATATACAAATATATATATATATATATATATATATATATATATTTTCCATTCCATGTTAGTTACTTTTTTATCAGCTCTAAATGACAAATAAACGCCTGCAGCAACCTTTAACTAGCTTATCAGGATGAATAGATACATTAATGCTAAATTGACCAAGATATTGACCACCAGGTTCTATAGCCACTGAATCTGTTACTCTTTGATAATAATAGTGTGTAACTGTCCTTTTGAAACATTATTGTTCTTATTGAATTTTTTCCTCCATCAAAGTCAATATTATCTGTATTTAAAATTTTGGAGTTTTCTTTTTTTTTTTAATCGCCATGACTGATTTCCTTGCTCTCGATAACTTAATAAGCCAGATAAGAGGATTCAGGAATAGAAAATCCTGCTTCAATTAAATTTTGCAGATAACTTGTAGATAGTTGCTGCACTTGCGGCAGGTAAAAGTCTATAAAATAATACTAGTTTTTATTTATTTTTATTAACATATTAACTGAGTATTTGCTGCGCAATAAAAAATTAAATAATCATATAATACAGGGTGGCCAGACTTTTTAAGATACAGGGAAAAAACAATTTGCGAGCAAAAAATATTCATTTCTACGAAAATATAGGTGACTAATAACTGTTATAATCATTTGTATCAAAGCAATATAATTATTGTGTTGAACTTGACTGTCTAAAACTAACTCTTTGATGTCTGGATTGATTTTTGATTTAGATTAAAGTATCACATTACCAAGATGGTTGTCTCCTAAATATCTGATTTGTTTAATGGGCATTTAAAAAAGTCTCTGCTGGCATTTTTTTGTCTGTGGGCAGTGGTATGCCACCACTGATATGATATAATCTTTATGCTAGGCTTAGCTTTGGCTATGATTTACATCATATATCTTCTTGATTTTCTTTATAAATATTGTGTTACGAAGAAAACACAGACATCTAACTTTTCAATAGAAATATTTCTACCTTAACTTATTTTCATTATCCTCGTTTTTAAGTATATTTATCACCAACTCAGTCATGGTTTTCATCGAGAGGAGAACCTGGAGAAGAAATGTTTTTTATCCAGATAAAATAGGCCCTATTAACTCAAAAATACTATTGATGAATGAATGCCTAGTTTTAGCTTTTAACATAATTTATGAATTAGCTAAAAATTAAAAAGTTATACCAAGTTAAATAATCTCAAAGCACTCAATTGTGTTCATGTATTATTCTATTTTTTTTAATTTGTTAACAGCAGAGCAGCGTCAAAATCTTTTAAAATTTGATTTGGCACTGCGCTTTTTATGAGAGTCAAATACATAAGGACTAATATATTTATTTTTTACATAACTTTATTTCATTTTGTTAAAATATAAATGTAAAAATTTGGATATGAATCTGTTTTCTTATCAAAAAGTGGATCATAGCAAACCTACCTTGAAATTTGATTTTAGATTAAAATACACCTTTTTACTTAGCTTAGATTTTATTTTTTTAAAAAAACATAGTTTTCACCGTACCCTTACACACTTTATGTTTGATTACATTATATGTTTAAAGGTACTAAATTGAATTACATTATGTCTTATTACATGTTTTTGAGGAACCTGTTTAAAATAAACACATTATGCTTAACTATGTTATATTTTTAAGGTACCTGTTTAAATTACACACTTTTTTTTTTGATTTTATTATGCTTTAGATGTACCTGTTTGAATTTACAAGTACCAGTACTTGCTAACTATTTAGAACTTTGTTCCAGTACCTGCTACCTATTTTGTTCTTTGCATGCATGGTACTTGTGTTTTAAATGTAAATTTATAATAAATATTTTGAGTTCTTTGTTTTAATAAATATGCACAATTTATATTATTTCATTAAATACAAGTTAGTATTGAGTATTTTGTGAAATGTCATCTTTAAATATATCTTCATCTATAAATCTATCTTCATACAAATAAACGTGATTAAGAAACATCTTGCTCTTCTTGTGCTGTCTTTGATATTGGTCTTCCAATATCACAATAAACACTTTTAATGAAATATTATCATGAAATATTATTGAAATATCATGATATAAGTATTTATTATAACTCTCTGAGTATTCACATGAATATTCTTTACTTGAAGTTATCCAAGATACATCAATGGCATTGAGTTTAAGTAAAGAAAACAGCATAGAGGTTAAGTAGAGATATCCAGTATCATATCTTGCCAGAGTTCTAAAATAAACTTTGAAACATAGTTTTAGTGTTTCCTCAAAAATCTTTTATTACTATGTTGTACCAAATTTTTTTGATGTTTTCACACTTTTGTTTGTTTAGTTATTACACTTAGAGACCACATTGAAAATGCCACCTTTTTAAAATACTTTGATCTACTTTATATTCTTATCGTTCCTCTAGTCAAGTTACTTTCTTGTAGTGCTTTATGAAATGCACTGATTGAACCACAGGTAGAAAAGATTCTCATTATGAAACAAGACAGATTTGAGGCTTAGGGTGTCCCATAACAGCAAAAATTTTGAATTATCATGCCAACTTTTAAATAGAGGTTTAGACTTGAAAAAAAATAATGTATCAAGTATTTTTTGAAAATATAAAATTTTTAGAGTGTCCCCATTTAAAAAAAGTTGAAATTTTTTTATACTGGCTTTTTTAAGTATTTTTGCTTAAAATGTTAACAAATATATTCCCTAATTACTTTAAATTTTTACACTGTAATATTTACTATCTTATTTATTTTGTACAAAAAATTTGACTTCAAAAAAATTAAGTCTGAATTAAATAGCCAAGTGGTTTTAAGAAATTTAATTTCTGTTGTAAAATTGATACAATTTCACTGTTTAAATAAAAATCAAATTTTCATTAAATTTTCTTTTTGCCCTTAAAGAGAAACTATGTTTTCAATGGTTCTCAACTATTTGAAATAGTATTTGAAGCTGCGCGGCATCCTTGAGTTTGGTTTTGACGTAATCATTTGCTGCTGCAAATGCCTGCTGCCTTGTAGAGTGTGCTCTTCTTATGCAAAGGCTAGGAGAAATAAACTCCGACTAAAAATTCCCCTGCCTTGTGGCTCTTGGTTGAGTAAAGGCTAGAGATGGTGTCTCGATAAAAACACTCATCTTGGGCAGATGTTAACTGCATCCAGCTAAACATCCCCTGCCTTGGGGCTCTTGGTTGAGTAAAGGCTAGAGATGGTGTCTCAATAAAAATACTCATCTTGGGCAGATGTTAACTGCATCCAGCTACTGTCTTGTAGAAGGCCTCCTAAACAAAGACTTTAGGGGTAAGCAGAAAAATTCTGCTAACCAGCCTCGAACCCCTACTTCATCTATTAGGCTGGCGTAGATGTAACCTGTGTTACATTGTTTCCTGCCTAGGATGATGAATGCTGGATCTCCTTGACTCTACTCATAGAATTTTGCTTATGCCTCCTTGTTAATGGCTATGCAACTCTTCCTGTTATCTCCATATGAGGGTACAGCACTAAAACTCAGTTTAATGGTTCTGAGGCCAGCTGGTAGTAAGGTTTCCCGAACTCTGTGGTAGCTCTCAGAGAGGCTGATTCCATCAACAGCTGCAAAATATCAGAGTATTAACTGTGCCATGTTGCGCATGGATGGTGTCCCTGTTAATGCTTTTGGTGTGCATTGTCAAGGCCACATAAGGAGCCCTATGTCACGGCTTAGGGTTAATTAACAGGACTGAGACAACTGCATAGCTCATTGATTAGGAGGCTGTTCTCTATCTATGAATGAGTCTAGTTCTCATTAAACCCAAATCATGACCAAAGTAACCAAAAATTTAAAACCTAAAAAACCATCCCCACCACCTAAATATTTTAATATATCTTTTACAAATATTTGCGGTCTACGAAGCAACTTTCCATCAGTTGAGTCTTACCTCCTGCAAAATTCACCAGACTTGCTTGCACTCAGTGAAACAAATTTAAGTTCTGCAATTCCTTCTTCAGATGTCAGTGTTGATGGGTACTATCCTTTGATTCGTAAAGACTCCAATGGTCACATGCTAGGTTTAGGGGTATACATACGCATTAATTCCCCTATTTGTCGTGAAATCAGGTTCGAATCCTTTGACCATTTTTTTATGTGCTTTCGCCTAGCATCTCTTTACTCTATCACCTTTCTCTTTGTTCTTTATCGTTCTCCTTCTTCCCATGATTGCACTCTTTTAGATGTTATCTCTGATCAAATTGACCATGCCCTCTCTCTTTACCCCTCTGCCAATATTGTTGTTGTTGGTGATTTTAGTGCCCATCACACTGAATGGCTTGGCTCTAACACCATTGATCCTGCTGGCACTAAAGTCTTTAACTTCTGCGTTTCTCAATCTCTTACTCAGATAGTTAACTTTGTGACTCGTTTTCCTGACAACCCTAATCATTTACCTTCACTCCTTGACTTATGTCTTGTCTCTGACCCTAGCTTATGTTCAGTTTCTCCCTTTTCTCCCTTAGGTGGTTCTGACCATGCAATGATCTCTATAAATCTTTCTTCTCGTACTTCTTTTTTGGGCTCACCTTATCATCGCACCACCTACTACTACCCTAAAGCTGACTGGGATTCCTTTCGTGATTTTCTTCGTGATGGTCCTTGGGCTGATGTTTTTTCTCTCTCAGCTGACAAATGCGCCTCCTACGTAACCTCCTGGATTCAGGCTGGAATGGAAGCTTTTATTCCTTCGCGTCGGTTTCAAGTCGAGCCTCATTCTACTCCATGG